AACTCCCCAACGACTCCTTTATATGCGGAGGTTTTGAGAAAAAATCGAAAAACTCGATTATGCGAACAGCTCGAAGAGATATACACCAAAAACTTTAATGGCGGGAAAATGTCCTACCCGGGGATCGAACCGGGGACCTATGTCAAATTCATTGATCTAATCAATAGACGTGGGCTAAGTGAGCTCCGCCCCTTCGTTACGAAGGCCTAGTGTACAACGATAAACCAGAGATTACGGGGTTTGATTTTGGGCTCTCAAGCCTAACGAAGATTTAGACTCGGAAGTTGCCCGCACCGCAAGGATTCCCCATAACGCACGAAGTAATCAACTACGCATAACAACTTCAAATCGATCTCGTAGATGTACTTCTATAGCATTCCCCACTACTACTACCTCCCCAACGCCATATTCGTACGAAATACAATAACGTAACCGAGGATAATCGCAAATATCTGCACCGAGAAAGGATGTTGGATTTCCGCAGGTATCCATTGTGATGCCACCTCGAATCCAAGGCCTAACATGGCATCAATTACGCCGTCATACTACGAAGTCGCCAATGGAACTCTTCCAACTACCCGCCATTGTATACTACCAAAGGTTATCAAACCCGCAGTGAGCGCTGGAAGTAACGACCTGGGGAAAACTGATCCCGACAGCTGCAATATGAGCCGAATAGCTGACTGATCGTTATCATAGGTAATCATGCTTGGAAACTAGAACCACACTGTTGGGATAATAATAAGATCGATCCTCATCATACAAATACAGCGGCCTTTACTGTCTCGAAACCAACCACAGAAGCAGTCCATGCTCAGTTCTGTCTCCACCATAATAAAAATAGTATCAACTGAGCTAAAAGAAATACTCTCGCGAGTACGACAGATCAATGGATTGCTACCGGGGCGGTTACATGCTAGTACCAACAGGCGATAGTCTACTAATCTGATTATCATTACCGTGTACAACAACCATCGTCACTCGCCACGAAATTAGACACAAACTGATTGAATAGCTTCGATCGCAACGGATAGAGATGGCATAGTCTAGTCAAGAAATACAGTCGGAGGAGAACAAAGATAGAATATGGACAGAAGAAGATCGAAAAGGGCTGATCAGTTGACGAGAATATTTCAGTACTCCGTCCGTGCACGCACGCACAAAGGCCTCCATAGCTGAACTGATGCCGACCGAAACAGTAGGGTACCTATATAAAGAATATACACAGCAATCGTCAATCATTATTGCGTGGATTGTTCGGGAATTCAGGCGATGATTTTCTTTCAAGCATAACAGCGCGGCCTCCTGTAATAAGCCCCTCACAGCAAAAGCACTATATCCGGAACTTTTCCACAGCTACACTTTGCTTAGTAATACTGAGTCTGAGATATGGAATCCATGTCTCAGATTGGTGTGCGGACCCGAGTGATCCCGAGACATCCTAAGCTGCGAGCTCAGGGTACCGGCTTGGCACTGATGAGACCGTTGTTACTAGAGTGGTCTTAAAAATGGTCGAACAACTCGGCATAAATACACATGTGTCAATAATATTGATTGTTAACATCGGATATTGACTCAAAGCATCCATTCATGATGAACGAAGCCAGACTAACAAATTCCATCCATGTATCTATCCGCAGCCGACAGATGTGGCGGGATAAGCAAACAGTCCGCTACTCAGTGCCTCCCTCACGGGTTGCCTTGGTGCAGGGAGTTCAGCGACGCCCCCCGCCTCGTCTTCCATGCAGAGCATGTACCCGATGCGTTGCAACGATCCACAGTTATTATCTTGATACTCCATCTAAGATCCATTTTTGGCATCACTTTTGCCGAACCATGAACATTTGAGTGTATGATCGATATAAAGGCGGCCCACCGACCGGAGCGTGCTTGCTCTGACAGCGAGGCCAAACGGAGGCTTTCGCTGTACTGCCTCGATCAGCAACTTACATCCCGCGAAAAACTCGCAAGCTTGGGACTGGGTCAAAAGCTCTACTATAGCGATCTCAGACGGATCCAATAAGACCCCATAATGATACACCGCGCGGTTAAATGCGAGATATCGAGACTTTTTTCCATAGTGAGCTATGAAGGGTCGGCAGATCCAGCAATAGATTCACCGGACGGTCCTTAGTGTACTGGTAAACAGTGGACCAAAGCGTTCATTTGTGAGCTCGTACTCTGTGTAGCGTTCGCCCTAGGACTTGAACGGGACCCTCAAGCCATCGCCGACTGGTCGACTGCTACTACTCATTTCGAGAGGTCCCAGCAGCGCCGAGGGAATCATGGTATGGTAGAAGATACCCACGAACGTGAGATATGGACTGAAGAACAGGCAGAAGCGTCGGCGGCTCACCGGACAGGAGCCTCCTGTCAGGAGGCGACTGGCCAGGGATTGAAGATCTCCGGGGGAGTGAACAAGAATCAATCTGCGGAAGACCCAGCTGTGACAAGCAGTGATACTCTCACCGAGAGTCTCACGAGCTTCGTGACCTACGATGAAGTGACTTGGCCCGATCTCCCTTCTACAGACGAGATGGGACCTTACTGCGGGTCTGTGATCCGATGCAGTCGCAGAGATTGTCCTCATAAGTGGTAGCACATTGTGTACGTGTCCGTCTACTCGGTAGCTTCAAGGAGTATATCTGGGCACGAGGAGGCTACGAACGAATCGAAGAAGTGGGTTTGCTTCACCTGTAGGGGTAAGTCTTGGAAAGTAACCCATGTCACCCACTGTGCTGTACCACCACTCATTGTAACCAGAAGTTAGAATCCCCAACGCTGGCCTGTGAACCTGTGATGTCCTGTAGTTGGAATATCTTGAAGTTCCAGTGAGCACCTACGAATGTACACAACGAGCAAGTCCGTGATCAAGCACATTTTCCCAGTCAAGCAAAAACTGATAGAGCCAACGTGAGAATCATCTCGAAGGCTGGGGTCTATACACGAAGCGGATATAAGATGCTCAGATGATCAGACCACACAATACACTATAAAGTACACGAGAGACCCCAGCCCAGCTTACTGCGATGTGGCAGCTCGTCCGCCTCCAGCCAATTGCTGCCCTCAAGAACAGTTGGAAAGTGCAACCACTGTGAACAACAAGACACCTGCAGGCAAAAGCTTCATTCTACACAGCACCATCCATTACAATTAAAAACTGGAACGACATTCCAAGTAGAATGAGAATAGAGAATATCCAACATAGCAAGACATGCTACGATGTAACGATAAACAATCTCAGGCTGAGATTCTCAGCTCCCTGAAGATTTCTTAACAAGTTCATCTCTCTCCCAGGACTGTCGAAAGACGACGGTGGGGTGAAAAGTTAAGCCACTGGCGTAAAGCCAGCATCGGCGTTTTGAAGACGCCGTCTGCATAGAATGTGAGAAACCTTCCGTAGAAGGAAGGTAGGGCAGAATCAACATAAGTTTTCGGGTCAAAAACTGCATCCACGACTCATGGGCCAAAGAAGACGACCAGAGATAGCTGCCGACTATGAGACCCAGATACCCGTACCGAAAACGGCCTGAGAGGAGAAAGGAGCCAGCAAGTATCCGGCCGCTTCGCGCCGCGCAGCTTTGAAGCAAAATTCAGCATTTGGGAAAAGGGGGTTATTTGTTTGGGAGAGAGGGTAAATTTCGGAGAAGGGGAATCAAAGTTTGGGAGCAAGAGGTAGTAGGGCCCAACTGTACGGCAAGAAGGCTCGTACTGCAGAAGTAGCAGAACAAGTTTCCCTGCGAGTCGAAGCTGCTGCGCAGGCAGAAAATGTCTTCAGACCCCGGCGACGGTAGCTCATTACGCTCCGCGCAGAATCTCTAGAGCTCTACGATCGGGCTACCTTGTTGACGAGGTCGTTGAAGATTGTCCTGATTCCTACGCGCCATGCCGGAACGAGTGAAAGCCATCTCTATGGAACGAACTGCCCGGCACCACTTCGTCCACGGTCTCCACCTCGGCAGGTACTCCTCTTACACGGCGTTGAACATCTCCAAAGAGTTCATGTCTTGGAACGTTGACGGCTCATCTTCAGTACAACATAGGAATTTTCACGACTTACTCTCATACTGGCAGTTCAGGTACCCACGCCGTTTAATGAGAGAGTATTTATATGTAAAGACTGTTGATGGAGTTTTCAGCCGTAGATACCTGTTGTATTTGACCATCTTATCCTCATTTTCTGAAATGAGACTCGTTTTGTTGACGAAAATTACTTTCTCCGCCAAAACAAACAATTTCATTCTTCTTCTGGTCCATTTTGGAAACTTTCAGAAGCCTTACGAAAAACTTATCCTGGAAACTTTGCAATAGGTAGTACCCAAGGGGAACTGGGGGCATAACGAGTTGAAATAGTTGTTCGAAATCCATCGCGAAACCACTCCAAGCAGTGATAGCAAGCCCGTACGTACACTGTTACAGTGTCACTGTATATTACGGGGGAGACCTCCTGAGAGGCGATAAGGGGGAGATGAAAGAATGACTCTTGTCCTCTTGCCAGACTTTTGAACAGTCTGACGAACAACATGACATGGAAGACGAAGGAAGCGATTCCGTTACTATGCGATCTGTCACTAAACTAGGATCTCGAGCCTCGTTGAAGGCTCCCATATCATGATCGAGGACCCGATCCGAACATGCTAGAGAAGAATTCAGCCTGGAAAGCACATATAAGATTCGGAAACAACTCAGTCTTCGATTGCATTGAAGGAAAACCTCCCCGACTTCTAACCCGAACACCTCATACTAAGAGAAACTTGTTTGAACTCTTTTTTGAGTAGGCTTGAAAGATATGCCCTTTCTAGTGGTACTAGCAAGGAGTAGGAAGTAATGTCGCCTAAGGGAATCGTAAATCAATTAGATGCCCCCTCAAATTTCCTTACATCATCAGCTGCCACTCCTCAACTTCATCAAATATTTCAAGGCGCGCGACTCGGATCTGTTCGTCCATATCGTCCATCTGAAAATAGGCAAGTCTAACCTCAGACTTCAACACACTTTTCCTCATTTTCAACACTGCTACCAGAATCGCTTTCCACACGTTAAATTCTGTCGTGGAAATGCACGCCGTTACGTCAGAATAGATATACACAAATTATTCCCTAGGAACCCATATTTTGATTTTGAAACATAACCAGCTGCCAGGAGAAAGACGTGAATACGACTCCAATAAAACTCACCAAAGTATCATCGTAGATTGCAAGCATGTCCTTCACAATGCAATATGGGAAACCCAATGTTTCATATCGCTCCCGCTGCGACTGGACAGTAGGGTATCTATGATGCATATTACGCAGACGTCGAGATTGGTTTATACCATGCATTGACCTAATTCCCAACATTGTCCGACTCACTTTCCCAAACCTATAAGTGGACATCCTCGTCCCTTGAGGTTCTCCATCATAACCCGTCCAAATGGGTCATCAGGATTGCACTGCTCGTACCTAACACAATGGAGTTTCACCCGTAGTAGAACAAATATTTTACGACTATCGTTTTTTTTCACAGAGTATTACGCCACTTCACGTAAAATGGGTGAAACTTCAATGAACTATCACCACAACCTACACCAGCACTCGACACTCAGCTCCTTCGATTGACCCACTAATCCACGACAACAACCTGTCACTCGATTCTGGAGGCATATATCTGGCAATTTAACAGATTAATTCTCACCGCCTCTCAAAAATCAGACCCTTACACCAATACACACTCAGCGATGAACAATGTCGGTACTCCAGTGGATTCAAAACCTACACCATGAAGATACTGCACACAACCCCATCAGAGCCGCCAGACTCACCTATCTCTCCAAGAGCGCCCGAGACCGTCTCCACAGCCCTCAAGTCGCAACAAGCCGACCTGTACGTGTCCGCCCGTATACATCTCGCGCCGCACCCTAAAGATTCCCTACCATACCTTCCGAAAATTTAGCCTAACTTCAGCCTACCATCCTTGATAACGAGATCATCCTTGGATTTTCCAAGTCTGCTCCACAGCGCCTCTCGCCGCAATATCATACCTCAAATCCTACACTTCACCAAAAGACTCCCCCAGACACACTACTCGTTTTCCGATCCACCACTTCGGGCATGTCCAACTCGAGATACCTACGATAACTTCACATGAGCCTCACACGAAATGAAGTACCTTTACGGAGTTTATCTCACCCGGGCGTGATAGTTGGCAAGCCAGTTTGATCAGTAATGAAGCATATGTTCGCTTTCCTCAGCTGGGTGCAAAAGTTCCCTCACTTATTATATAAGTTTAAATATAAAATTGATGTACAAATACACAGAAACCGATAAGAATTTCCTCAATTTTACCTCACAATTTCCACTAATGTCACCGACATATGCAGTTGACCATGTGCGTATTTTCCAATACTGAGATCCCCTATAAAAATATATACAACCGTAGATAAACTACTATATGGATATTCCCTTTTATATTTTTATTATATACATTGGAGTTTTACCCGTTTTACGTAAAGATGGCGTAAAACTCGGTGAAAAACGCGATATTTGCGTTACGCAGTAGTCGTGAAAAAGATTTTTCACTAGTGCTTCCCATATCACGGGTGAAACTCCATTAACATCAACTTTATATTAGCAACAGTTTTAGACGGAATCGATATGTGCCTGCCTAGGCCATGTTGAACTTCGGACGCGCACAGTGTGATGAGCCTCGACTGAGCCCCTCCTACCTAAGTTTGATCCCACGAATCTCCTCCTGATCACTTAGCCACCAGTAAGTAGTGTCAATGCCAGCTCCTAGGGACACTATCTAGAGAATGAACACCACTCGTTCCTTTATTCCCAATCAGCCACATACTCGATGATTACGCCCACCTGAATCGCATCTTTTCCCTCTGCTTTAACATCACTTATGAAATCCAATATCGCATTTCTCATGGCCTGCACTCGAGCAAAATACCCCCTGTTTATCACAGGTTGACGATGCGCCCAGTGCCTGACGACCAGTGTAGAAATTTATGCACATCTAGATATGAAAATTCTGAGGAAATTTGAAAAAATCCTCGTAAAAAAATTGAGTAAATTCCTGAGCTCAGCTGAGGGAAGCAAACAAATATTGCAACACTGCTGATGACCGACCAATGAACCCAGCAATACCCCAGCCTTGCACTACCGGCACATTTGCATAATATAGGGGTCATTATAATAACCCTTGCTCACAGCACTCCATTTACTCTCCGCAGCCTCGTCAGCTGTTCTCTGTATCTACCATACCACTAGAGTAACAATACTCACCGTCACGCGCCACGAAATTACCGCCTCCTCATCTCCCATTCCACCACAACTGA